ATACATATATATATATATTTATAATAAGAAGGAACAGTAAGATTTACAATCCGGTGTTCTTAGTAATTATTATTTTTTTTTTTAAGTGCTCGATACATAAACTGTAGAGCATAATATTATAATTATTTACTATTTTAAAAATATGTTCCCCTCTCTACACAGGAATTACCATGTTTTAAAACAGAAACTAAAATTTTAAATTTAATTATAAAATTAAATTGAAAATTCATAGCTCCATTCCATTCTCAAGCGATTTTTGGAATAACCTATTAAGAATTTCACTTCATTTATAAGCACAGACAAACTTAATATTTGAAACTGTTAAGGTTACGGAAAAATTCAATCATTTTGATAAGGAGTGTTTGACTGTTACTTTCCCTAGACAACGTATATATCAAATATAAGTTACTTTCAAAATCAGGTTAAGATGAGGTAAGGTAGGAGTGTCTACTCACAATGATAACCGTTTTTCACGTGTCGTCTGCGTTTTTCAAAAAAAAGTTTTTAGCATTTTTACTTAGTCGCTCAATCTATAATTGAATAAACAAAGATTTATTAAAAGGGATCTGAGTATGAATATGAGTAAGTGCTATTTTTAATACTTAAACATTTATTCCTACAAATTTAAAGTACTTTTCTACTTCTAATAACTAATAGACTATAAGTTATTTTCTAAATAAATATATTAGAATTACATTCGTATTTTTAAAAAAAATTATTAATCAAAGATCAAGTATAAATATGTATGCTTCATCTGTCATCTCTTTTTTTCAAAATTAAACAATATTTAAGGAAAATATTTGACATTTCTAGAAAAAAGAGCTATTTCATTTCTTTAAGTAAATTTTTATTTTTCAGAAACTTATTAAGGTATAATTTTTCATGTATGCACAAAGGACATAGGTCATTTTAATGACCTACAAAGCTCTAGCTCTTCTTATTAATTTCCATTTCATTGTTGGTGTTTTATTGGTTTCATTTAAGTGCCAGAAATACTTAGATAGGGACGTTTGATTTCTGTATTTATTATTTTTAGAGGACATTTGATGTTGGTTCCAACGTCTTTTGAAATCATGTTTTGGGTAGATTTTACCTATGTCTGGATCTTCAGTGGATGAAATATCGCATTGATAAACCAATGAATCCATGCAATGAATCCATATTATTGAGAGGACAGTCTTGAGGATTTCTACAGTTTCATAATTTTTCTTTAACTTCATTTCTTTTTATTTTCGGATCTAGATTTTTTTTTACTTGTTTACTCAAGATATTAGCATTATGTTTCTTAATGATTTCTAAGTCTTCAGTACAACAATAAATTAATTTAAGGGTATTTTTTATTAAAAATTGTACTGAGTTTACTGGCTCTAGGAAAATGTTTATCAGTTAATGCAAGGAATTTTTGTCCTAATTTATTTTTTACCATTTGGTTGCATGGGGGGAGGGGTATACCAAATGAATTTTCTCTTTCTATTATTTCTATCGTTTCCATTTTCATTTTTTATATAATTGCAATTTTGGGTATTTATAGCCGCTATTATTTAGAGCTTTATTATAGAAATTACTATGTCCATACAATATTTTCTCATTTGCTGAATTTATACTTTTTTTCTTTTCGATAAATCTACCACAGAAAGAAACGTGGACCTACGGCGGGAAAACGTCTCCCTGAGAAATGAAAGCGACATTCTCGCCTCACGTATGACATTTGTTTTGATTGATTTTTCTCAATCTATCTCTCTATTTCTGACTAAATCTCTCTCTCAATCTCCCCCTCTCTCTCTCACACACACACATACACACACACACTCTCACTCACTCATTAAATATGATTCTCTTTATCTCTTCTTTCTCAAACACTTTTTCTATGTTTCATACTATATCTTCTCTCTCACTCTCTCCTCTCTCTCTCTCTCTCTCTCTCTCACACACACACACACACACACACACACACACACACACACACACACACACACGAAGTTAAGTATAGTTGAGACAGGTCAGTAACTAAATGGGTGACCGCTTGGAATACCAGGGGTTGTAAGCGTCGATATCCGGTCGTGTAAAGGATAAAGGTTCAGAAATGGAAAATCATAGAACCGAGTTCCAATTCCAGTTGGGTTTGTTATATTAATTAGGCGCGAACACCATTGGGAAAGTTATGAGCCCGTATTTTCTCCCCCACCCCCTACCCCATCTACGGATGAATCATTGGGACTTGTATCACTAAAACATTCTTCTGCTTTTATGTGTCGTGTCTCTTCAGGGCGTAGGCAATCATGGCTCTCCCCTTTTCCCTATCCCTTGTAGCTCTCAATATGTCTGGTCCTTTTGCTACTTCTCCCAAACCCTGTTCTCTCATCCACTTGCTTAAGCCTGCTAAGTATGTCACACGTTGCTTTTCCTTGTCTCTCTTTCCCTCTATCCGCCTTATGAGTATCAGATTTTTCAAGCCCTCCTTTCTCATTACATGTCCCAGAAATTTCAGCTGCCTCTTCCTGATGTTTAGTATTTAGTCTCCATCCTCTCCAAATCCTCATCGTTGCTCACATTTTCGATCCATGGTATCCTTAGCATCCTTCTGTAGAACCATGCCTCCGTTGCCTCAAGTCAGTTCTTCATCTTTGAGGAGACCATTCAATATACGCTGCCGTAAAGGTCAGATATCACGTAGCAGTTCAGTACTCCTTTCTTTGTTTCCAACGAAATACTCCTGTACCGTAATACTCTGCCTAGCTTTTGGAATGCATCTTTGGCCATCCCAATACGTCTTCGGGTCTCAGTGGCGCACTGTCAGAGGACTTTCCAGATATTTAAATTTCCGCACCTGCTTGATTTTAGTGTTCCCGACCTGTAAATCGCATTTCGGGCCCATCTTTTTTATCGATGACCAAGCATTCTGTCTTCTTGTAGTTTCTCCTTCGCTACCTTCTGTCGGAGATTTTGTAATTTCCTTTCCGTGTCTCCTATCAAAACTGTGTCATCTACGTATCATATGTTGCTAAGATTGGTAGGATTTCCAGTTCTTTCAGAAATGACTCGCTGCATAGGTTGAATAAGAGAAGAGACATCTTTGCTTTACGCCTCTTTCCTTTGCGACCGGTTTCTTAGACAGTGGTAGGAAAATAGATCTTCTGAGATCTTCCGGTATATCAGCACCGTTGTAGATTTCATTTATTATTTCTGTAATCTTGTCTATGTCAGAGTCATCTAAGGCTGTCAGCATTTCTGTTGCAATTCCGTCTGGCCCTGCCGCATTGTTTCTGTTCAATTTCGCCAGTGCATCTTCTACTTTGGTTTTTAGAATTTCAGGTCCGCCGATAATTCTGTGTATTGCTGGTTGTTCTCTTTCGTCGTGGGAGAGTTCTCCAATATCTGAAGATTTTTTTTCTTTCTCTAATATGAGCGTTCCATCCTTTGATTTTATACAGCCTGTTGACGAGCAATTCTTCTGTCCTGTTAGTTGCCTTATTTGTTTATGCATATCTCCTTTGTTGGTGGTAAAAAATCTCTGATTCTGCACATTTTGTTTTTGTTTAGCCACTCTTCTTTAGCCAGCCTGCATTTGGTCCTTATTTCATTAAGTAGTTTTCTGTATTCCATTCTGTATCTTAGCAGAGTTTTCTGTCTCCTTTGCATCATATCGAGAATCTCATCAGTCATCCATTCTATTTTTTCTTTTCTTCGTCCATTTTCCTTTGGGATGATATCATTTGCTGATGTCCTTAAAGCTTCTCTTAGTGCCCCCCATTTCGAGTTTCCATTTCCATTGTCTCCCTTCTATCTTCTCTTCACACTGTCCATATATTTTTCTTTCAGGTACGGGCCGCTCAGGAATTTGTTGCATAAAAGACTAATATAATCCACAAAGGCCGGCGTGGTTCATCGATGCGGGAAATTTGTAAATATTTTGTAGGGACATGAAGATACAAT